GGTTTTTATATCGCACTGATACAATAGGTTTTTATTTCGCACTGATACAATAGGTTTTTATATCGCACTGATACAATAGGTTTTTATATCGCACTGATACAATAGGTTTTTATATCGCACTGATACAATAGGTTTTTATTTTTGCACTGATACAATAGGTTGTTATTTCGCATTGATACAATAGGTTGTTATATCGAACTGATAAAATAGGTTTTTATATCGCACTGATACAATAGGTTTTATTTCCCATTGATACAATAGGTTGTTATTTCGCATTAATACAATAGATTTTTATATCGAACTGATAAAATAGGTTTTTATATCGAACTGATACAATAGGTTTTTATATCGCACTGATACAATAGGTTTTTATATCGCACTGATACAATAGGTTTTATTTCCCATTGATACAATAGGTTGTTATTTCGCATTAATACAATAGGTTTTTATATCGAACTGATAAAATAGGTTTTTATATCGCACTGATACAATAGGTTTTTATATCGCACTGATAGCTAGCTCTATATCGCTCAGATTATCACCATTGGTGTGATCAATATCAGTTTTGTCATTCCTTATTTCTTTTTTAACATTATTGACCATCGCAGGTTTCCAGTCTTAAGTATTCCGGATATCAAATAGCTTATGTGCTCTGGGGTAAGTAACAATAAATTAAGTGTTGTTGATGCATACGAGTATACAATTAACACATTATAACGGGACGACTCGTCCGCCTTGATTATTTTACGTGAGTCGCGCAGATTTTTATCAAATTATTTCACATCGGAGTCCCAAGACCCCAACAAACCTAAATAAATTATCTGAGATGGTAAGTTCAGATCACTAAATATCAGGATATAACTATACTGAACACGTGAGTATCCATCAGTTGTATACTTATGCATATCTGGTACATTGTACAACCGTTCGAAGTTTTATTCTTTTTAGGGTACATCATCACACAGCTGATACTATGGGTCATATTATTCGCTGTAGTTTACATGATAATCCTAGCTATTCAGGATGACAGGAGCTCTTTACTTCTCACCCTGGTAGCAGAATACTGGTATGATAATTAATTCGTGTTCCATGATGTATGTATATACAGCAATAGTTTGTGAGTTCGGACGATTATATTCTTAAACTGTGATTGAAGACAAATTTAAAATTCACATGTAAACGTTATTTAAGTTGCAAAATCACTAATGCTTGGACACAGTCCCTCTATCACCGGTCTGGAAACGCTTAGTATTCTATTGTACTAACCCTCGGGCCTCGTAACGGGCAAATAAATCGTTGACACCTTACGCCAATTGATAGAGGGACTGTGGCTTGGAGCATGACAATTGTCTGGTTTGTCTGACATGTATGTGAAAAAGGAGGGAGTTAAAACACAAATTGATGTTGACATTATAGATGTCGATTATAACTTATAGATGATGCATCACAGGAGTAAAATTATAGCTTTTGTATAATTGAAAAGAGTCGAGGTACTCTCTCACAAAGTATCAGAAAAAATCTGATGAAACTATATTGATCAACTTTAACTTCCTAAAAACTAAATAAAGTTATATTATAGCATACGTACATACACTTAAATAAATACATCACTTACTTTCTCCCAAAAGCATATCTTCCATGTAAATACACATTGTATTATGGCCCCACTGGATTTACTGCTTTATTCAAAATTCGATTATTTTTATTTCAGGTTTTCCGCCGTGTTTGCTGTGTTTCTTTACATCTATCAGATTCTTGTCACAAAATATATTTTTCTTCTTGAATACGGCAATGTTCTCGGTTTGAATAACAGGTAAGGCACATTTGGCACCGCATTTGGTGTGGATACGTAGCATGTAAGTCCTTTTTATCGGTATTTGAGATACGACAGTAGTACTGTGAGCCCAAGTTGTCTAGAATTGCTGTGGCTTCTGAAACTCTAAAACAAAGACGGACTCAGTCTACTAATGCTGGAATTCAGTGGAAGTGTTATTCAGCGTTGCCACATACTCACAGTTGAGTCGAGGCAGAAGTTGATAGGTTGAAAACAAATTCAACAAACAAGCTGCTCTATAATTGGTCTGACTGTTATAAGTTGGGGTTTGGTCATTGTTACATGACAAAAGAGTTCCTGAAGAAAATATTAATCCATTTTCTGATCAGCAAAATCGAACGAAGCTGATATGAAAAAAAACCTCTGATGTTCGGTCTTCGACATTTCAAGTTGTTTTAT